TCGGAGTGGGGTGTGAGAGCTAGGTAGGGTGGTAGGGTTCGGGAGGTAGGGCTCAGGGCTTAGGGATCAGGGCTTAGGGCTCAGGTCCCATGGCGTAGGGCTTAGCGTCTAGGGCGGTAGGGTTCGGGTTTGAGTTCGGGTGTTGGGGTTGGGGTGTGAGGGTGAGGGCGGCAGGATTCGGGTTGAGGCCGTTGGGGCTCGGAGTGGTGTGTTAGGGCTAGGGAGGCGTTGGGTGTCAGGGTTCCGATGTTTGAGCTCGGACCGTGCAAGTTTGGGTCAGGGTGTTAGGGTTGAGTCTGTTGGGGTTAGGGTGTTAGGGTAAGTGTCAGGGTGTTAGGGTTGGGGTGATAGGGTTAGGGTCGTGGGGATAAGGTTTGGGTGTTAGGGTCAGCGCCAGGGTGTTAGGGTAAGGATGGCAGGCTTAGGGTGGTAGGCTTGCGGTGGTGCACCCCGCCGCTTGCCACGACGAGCGTCTGATTGTCTTGGACCAGATGGCCCCTGCTGACTAAACAAAAGTGTTTGACTTAGGGTATTAGGGTTCAGGTGCTTGGCTTAGGGTGTTTGGGTTAGGGTGTTAGGGCCAGGGTGTTAGTGTCAGAGTGTTAGGGTTGGGATTCGGATCGGGTTATGGTCTTATGGTCTTAGGGTTAGGGCTCAGCGCTAGGGGCGTGGGGCGGTAGGCTTTGTGTTAGGATGATAGGGGTTAGGGTGTCAAGGTTTAGATGTTGGGGTGCTAGGGTTATGGAGTTTGGGTCAGGGTGTTCGGGTTACGGTGTCAGGGGTTAGGGTGTTAGGGTTTGGGTGTCCTGGTTAGGGTGATGGCAGTAAGATTCGGGCGTAGGATTCCGGAGCTAGGGGGGCGGCGTGGCCAAAGAGCTGGATGGGGGAGTGAGATGTTTGGGTCCAAGGGGGGGTTCAACCCCTCCCCCCTTTGAAAGGGGAGCGGACCCAGGACGGCGGACAGGGATAGGGGGGGGTTCGGGAAGATGGACCGGGGAAAGGGGGGGGGGAAGGGGGGGTCCGAACCACCGCTCCCCCTCCTTTGAGGGAACCAGAGGCGCACCCTCCCATTTTGGGCCGTCCTACAACCCGCTGGATAGAAAAGTGGAGACCGTGGGGATCGAGGAAGACAAGGTTGGCCTCCTGTTGGGCCGCGGGGCCCCAGGACAATGTTGGAGTTCGGGCTGCGTCTCAAAGTGCGATTCAGCTCGAGATTTTCTCAACAACTACTTTCCGATCGCCCTCCAGGGCGATCTGAAAATTTGCCTTGGCATTTGAAAATGGCGATTTTGCGTGGGACCTCAGAAAAAAACCCAGATCGCCGGAGTATTTCTCAAAGGTATTTTCCGGCCGCTTTGCACACCGCCAGAAAATGACGGTTTCGTTTGAGCTGTCCTACCAACCGCGCGTCTCGTCCCGTGCTTCCGTTCGGGTCACGAGCCTGTCTGGGAGTCATCTTGGGATCGATCGAAGGTCGAAGCTCGAGGTTTCATCGATTAGCGAAGACCCAAGGGTTGTTCCCTCACATGATGCTGATCAGCACTTTTTAATCCAGGGGGAAGTAGGGCCGTCGTGGGCCTTCCGAGAGCCCTGTTGGGTCGTCTTGGAGCCACCGTGGACAGTCTGTCTTGGAGCCACCATGAACCGTTTTGGGATCATCTTTGTCCCCTCTTGGGGGTCTCTGGGGCAGTTGGGCGGGCCGTTGTGGAGTCCTTTGGTCGTCTTGGGTTGTCAGAATCCATAATTAGCCTGGCGACAGACCCAACCATATGCAGCTGCGAATACCGCGAGGGAGATGACACGAAGGAGGGGGGCACGCAAGCTACAAGTGGCGCGAGGCACGGCCCCTGGAGTCGTAGGCACTGCGCCACGTCATGGACGAGGCGCAAGACACTGCGCGGGCAGGAGGTGGTTGGAGAAGGAGGGGAGCTCACTGGGGCGAGCCAACCCATCAGTGTCATCATCGCATCGTGAGACCTGCTACTGGGCACGCAGGAAGATGTCACGGAGAAGCTGCGTAAATGTCAGGGGCAGGTCAGCAGCGGCAGAAACGAGACCGGGGGGCGCGCGGTCAAGAAGCGAAAGGAAGCAAGAGGAGCGAGAGACGAAGTGTGACATGTTTGCCTCCAGGCCGCCAGCGAGCCACGCAGAGTGCACTGCGCCGGCGGCGCCGCGCGAGAGTGGCTGGGGAGTCCCCACCGACGCGGCCTGGTCATCCCGAGGGAGTCCCATCGACGCGCGGGGGTCGTTCACTGCTTGTCAGAGCAAACGGAAGCGCTCCCGTACTGTGCGGCGAGGCGACGCGAAGAGGGCGCGATCTGCGTAAAGTCCCCCCGACAGGCGCCGGTTATCGTCTGGCGAGAAATCCCGACGACGAGCTGAGGTTATCCAAGCGTCTGCGACAGCCAGTGCGCCAAAATGGGATGGCGGCGGCATGCGGGGTCTCCCACTGGGGCCTTCGGTGGAGCATCCTATGCGGCCACGAAGCGTGTGAGGGGTGTGCCAAAATGGGATGGCGGCGGCATGCGGGGTCTGCCAGTGGGGCCTTCGGTGGAGCTCCCTATGGGGCCACGAAAAGTGTGAGGGGTGTGCACAAATGGGATGGCGGCGGCATGCGAGGTCTGCCACGGGGACCTTGGGTGGAGCTCCTTATGGGGCCACGAAGCGCTGTACTAGGTGTGGCGGACGCATGCGGGCACCCCCAATGGGGCCTTCGGTGGAGCTCCCTATGGGGTCACGAAACGTTTTGCTGAGTGCGACGGTTGCGTGCGGGCACCCTCACTGGGGCCTTCGGTGGAGCTCCATGTGGGGCCACGAAACGCTGTACTGGGTGTGGCAGACGCATGCGGGCACCCCCACTGGGGCCTTCGGTGGAGTTCCTATGGGGCCACGAAGCGCTGTGCTGGGTGTGGCGGACGCATGCGGGCACCCTCACTGGAGCCTTCGGCGGAACTCCCAATGGGACCACGAAGCGCTGTGCTGGGTGTGGCGGGCGCATGCGGGCACCCCCACTGGGGTCTTCGGTGGATTTGCCTGTGGGGCCACGAAACGCTGTACTGGGTGTGGCGGGCGCATGCGGGCACCTCCTCTAGGGCTTTCGATGGAGCTCCCTGTGGGGCCACGAAACGCTGTACTGGATGTGGCGGACGCATGCGGGCACCCTCACTGGCGCCTTCGGTGGAGCTCCCTGTGGGGTCACGAAACGCTTTGCTGGGTGTCGCGGACGCATGCGGGCACCCCCACTGGGGCCTTCGGTGGAACTGCCTGTGGGGCCACGGAACGCTTTGCTGGGTGTCGCGGACGCATGCGGGCACCCCCATTGGGGCCTTCGGTGGAACTGCCTAAGGGGGGCACGAAGCGTTGTACTGGGTGTGGCGGACGCATGCGGGCACCCCCAATGGGGCCTTCGGTGGAGCTCCCTGTGGGGCCACGAAAAGCTGTGCTGTGTGTGGCGGGCGCATGCGGGCACCCCCACTGGAGCCTTCGGTGGAGCTCCCTGTGGGGCCACGAAACGCTGTACTGGGTGTGGCGGACGCATGCGGGCACCCCCGCTGGGGCCTCGGGTGGAGCTTCCTGAGGGGCCACGAAACGCTGTACTGGGTGTGGCGGACGCATGCGGGCACCCTCACCGGGGCCTTCGGTGGAGCTCCCTGCGGGGCCACGAAACGTGTGATTGGTGCGCCGAAATGGGTGATGATGATGATGACGAGGACGGTAACGGTGACGATGTTGATGATGATGATGATGATGACGATGATAATGATGGTGATGATGATGATGATGGTTGTGATGATGATGATGATGATGATGATGATGATGATGATGATGATGGTGATGATACGGTTACCCCCTTGCATAACGATGACGGTGATGCTGATGATGATGATGATGATGACGATGATGATGCTGATGTGAGGAGGAAGGAGGGGGCAGCGGGAGGTGGAGGAGTGAACGCGGGGCGCTGTCTCTTCAAAACGAGGACCCATACACCACAGGATGGTTGCGGAAAAAAGAGGCCGAAGTCAGTCAGTCAGTCGAAGGCCGTGCACGCGGGAGGACGCATAGGCAAGACGAGTTGTGCACGTTGGCATGCTCGCGACTACAGGTGAAACATGAAACAGACATGTGAGCGTTTTCTTATTCTGCGTTTGGACATTGGGCGGAAGGGTGGGGGAGGGGGGGGGTTCTGGCTCCAGACCTCTGCTTAGTGCGACTGTTTGCAGCCGTGCGTCCCATGGGGGAGGCTTAAACAGCCTGGAACAGGCGCCAAAAACAGCCAAGTTCTACTTTACAGGGGGTGGGAGGCGGGGGGGTTGCGAGGGCCCGCGCCGATCGGCAAAACAATGAATAAAGATCGATCGCCGCCACGCGAACGCTTGCTCTGGCCAGGGGGAGGGGCGAGGGGATGGAGGGAAAAATAAGAAAAGGGGGAGGGCTGGGAGATTGAAGGACTATAAGGCGCGGAGGCTGGCATTACACGTGCTGCGTAAGCTGACGCATTTCGGAAGCCCGCTGTTGGCGCTCTTGCGGCGGACGGCCCACGTTCTAGGCGACCCGTCTACGTTGAAAAACATAAGTTTCACAATCGAGTTCGCTTTGTAATTTGCGATTTTATGGTACAGGTGCTTTTGCCTGCAGAGTAACGTGTGCGACACCGGTACCGACGCTACGTTTTGCTTCTTGGGGCCTTCCTGGAGGGCCTCTCGGAACCCCCTCTTGGGTCGTATTGAGGGCCTCTCGGGCTATCTTGACACTGTCTTGAGGCTGTCTTGGGCCATCTTGGAGCCATCTTGGGGCATCTGGAAGCCATCTTGAGCCTTCGTGGGCGCTGTTGGACGCGTTCTGGCGCCCTTCTCGGCCATCTGGAGCCCAGGGAGTCCCGGAAACCGTCGGGGTAGAGTCGGGTCCCCCCCCCCCCTCCCCAAACGCGCAATTGAGGGGTCCGTCGGGGTACTACGGGGCGGGGGGGGCATAATCTGGCACGCCTGGAGACCCCCAAGGGTCAGCGCATTTTTCCAAGGTCGGATTCACCCTGAAGCTCAAGTCTGGGAGAGAGATCAAGGTCTGGGGTGACAGAGCCAACGGCGAGTACAGCGAGGCAGTCGTCACCGACGGCGGGAAGGAGCTCTTCAAGGCAGTCCGCCCTGACGACGAGAACAAGGCGAGCGCCGCGCAGCTCGAGGAGGCCTGCCCTGGCTGCATGCCGTACTTCTACCTCCAGGACGGGGTGCTGCCTGCGTGCTCTCCTTCGATGCGTGGCTTCTCCTTTTGTCTTACGTCGGGCCTGTCCCTCTACAGGGGTAATATTCAGAAATAGTAAGACATAGCCTGGGGACGATTTTTAGTATTTTTTGACCATTTTGGAGTGTAGTTTTAATTCTTCGTCGAAAATCCCCCTGTAGGGGGACACGCCCGACCTACCTTTTGTCCGAGGCGGGAATTTATACCACGACCACCGCTTGGAGGATCAATTTTCTGGGACCTCGGCAGGCGGTGGATAGGGACATGTTTGGGCCCCCCGGAGCCAAAGTATATCCACATCCACCGCCCGCTGGGGCACCAGGGCGTCGCCACCCAGGCGGTGGATATGGATAAATCCCCGCCTCGCATTTTGAGGGTCATTTCCCTGCCGCGGAGGGTTGCGACGGGGGAGGCCGCTGGGGAGGCAGGGGAACAGGCAACACTATCTTTTCCCGCGTATGTTTTCCCCTCCGAGTGCGGGTCCAGGGATGGCGGGGGCCAGGGCTGGACTTGGCTCACTGGCGCTGCGCTGCTTCCTATTGGGTCGATGTTTTCCAACGTGCATTTCGCTCCCATCGGAAGGCCGGGCTACGGAGGGAGGGGGTAGGGCAAGCTAGGTGCGCTCGCGTCATATTTGACGTGCTAGACCTCCCTCACATCCCTTACCATGGCGTAGATATGCTCTCTATTCGCACAGTCGGTTGTCGAGCAGGGCAATGATCGCGAGAGGATTCGTGATGCATGGTAGAGCACGGCATGGCATGGAGTAGAAGAGCATGGCAGAGCGCAGCATGCCACAGCATGGCGTGGCATTGCGCAGTGAAGCATTGCATCACAAAGCATTGCAACGCAAAGCTTGGGATCGCACAGCGGCGCATAAGACAACACCGCACACTATGTCATTGCATGGCGCCAGGTTCCTTGGAGGGTAAGTGGATCGTCTTCGAAAGGTCTGGGCCAGTCTGGAGTCGTGGCTCCATGTCTAGTTCCTTGGGCTCCCTGACAAGCTCCACACAGGGCGGGGCTGATGGAGAGCACCCGCTGGCTCTGCTTTCAACATCGCCTTCTCAAAGCAGAAACGGGGCTCCCGCTTGATACTCCCTGAAACGACGACGCCCCGAAGTGGGTGGGGTGGGGGGCTTCTGCGGCCCCCCCAAATCAGCGAATCGACACCACATGTGTAATCGCTTCCGATGGTTTTTTCGGGGGGGCATTTTCTAAATTTTGGGGCCTATTCGGAAGGACGGACAACGCCCGCGCTGCAGCGGGAGAACGATTTGGAACAACCAGAGGCCCAGAAATGGGGGCAGCGCTGCAGCGGGAGCAACTTTTCGAAAAAAACAAGCTATAACCCAGTTCCCCTGGACTCCTGTGTGTAAAAAACAGTACGCGTAGTAGGGGGGCCGGATATCTTCCCAACGTCATCCGGGTAGAGAGGAGAGTAGCATTACTATTGTGTAGTTGTGTATTGAGATATCACACGCTATGTCCCTTAGGCCTATGCATCGAGAGCGTAGGTGCATCAGTCGCAGAGGTCTCTGAGACTCTGAGGCCACATGGCCGTACTGCATCATTGTGACATCACAAGGCGGTATGACCCAGATGTTCTAGGGCCAGGAGGTCCTGAGTCTTCAAGACATCCAGTTCGCAGGACAGTGAGAGCCTGATCCCTGAGACCTTAAGTCCGTGAGACTCTGAGACTCCAAGACCCTGAGGCACCTGTGACCCCAAGACCATCAGACCTTGCGGCCCGAATGCATCAAGACCTGCTCGTGATGCCGAAAGACACCGTGATCCCGAGGCGTTGGGGCCCAGATGCGCAGAGAGGGCAACACACATCTTCAGGCCGTGAAGCCATAGCTCCGCTCCCGCCCTCTCTTCCTGCCCGCGTCCCACTGCCATCTTCAGCTCTCTGCCGGTCGCCGCGGCCCTGGGGGCTCCTTCCCTCCAGGAAGGACCGGCACCCCCGCGGGGGACCCCCAGGGCAGCCGGAAGGGCATTGTCCGCCCCCGCAGGGCCGTCGGCCCGCGAGCCGCCTGAATTTGCCGGCGCCTGGTAGGAGGAGGAGGAGGAGGAGGAGGAGGAGGAGGAGGAGGAGGAGGAGGAGGAGGAGGAGGAGGAGGAGGAGGAGGAGGAGGAGGAGGAGAAGGAGAAGGCCCTCTCTCCGTTCCTCCCCTCCCTCCTCGCCCGCCGCCCAGGCGAGCGAGCACCACTCCCCTCCCCTGCCCGGCCCTCCGCCCCCCCCCCCACCCATGGCCCTGCCCTCCGCGGGGCCAGCACGACCATGTGCCCTCTCTTGTGCCCTGCCTTCTCCTGTGGCCGCGCCCCCGTGTCCCAGCTCCGAAAAAGCGCATCCCAGGACGGTGAGTACCTGCTCCTGAAGCAGGCCTTCGTGGACCACATCATCCAGAAGAAGGACGGCGTTCCCGCCGGAGTTCCCAGCATCACCACGGCCATCGAGGGCCTCAGGCTGTGTGAGTTCCTCACCGGGAAGCTCATGGAAGGGGAGGAGCCGCCCGCGAAGAAGCAAAAGGTCTGAATGCGGCATTTGCCTCATGAGTGTGAGTGTCTCAAGCCGTGCGACCTTCTAGTTAAGTCCAGCTTCGAGAGATCTCTTTTAGCACACATAACGGGTCTCGGTTCAGCCTGGAGTCCAGTGATATTAAGAGCTCGGACACCTTCGTCATGGCGACCTGTCCAATTTCCCCTCCTCCCCCATGTGGGCAGTGGGTTGGTGTAACGGTGGTCTCGTGAGAGCTCAGGACATGAGACCCCACCAGCAGCACCAACGAACAAATGCCAGTATCCACTAGTCGGCCAGTGTTTTGGGCCAAGGCGTGACAAATATTCCCCAATCAGTGCTTGCACTGAAGGGGTCCTAGCGGAGGTCGAAAGATTGGAGAAAGTTCCCGGCCGATTTCGGTGGGTGGCAGGGTTCCCAGGTTCCCGGATCCGGGTTCCCCAGTTCCCCGTTGCTGGTTCGGGGCCGGTTTCGGTGGGCGGTGGGGTTCCCGGGTTTCCGTGTTTCCGGGTTTTTGGTAGATCTTTTTATCGATCGGTCTCATTATCGATCGCATTACCCACCCTTCTATCGATCTCACAATCGATCGCACTATCGATTTCACAATCGATCTCATTATGGATCGCACGAGCGATCTCACGATTCATCTCATTATCGATCTCACTGAATTGACTTCATTATCGGTCTCCCGATCGACCTTACTATCGTCCTCACGGTCGATCCAACTATCGATCTCACTATCGACCTCACAATCGATCCCAATGTCAACATCACGATCGAAGGTGCTAACAATCCCAATATCGATCTCACTATCACTCTCACTATTGATTTGAAAATCCAACCACGGGACACCTCGGGCCGATGTCGGTATGTAGAACTACATGCATATATGTACACGTAGAGAATCCCATCAGCCCTTTAAGGCTTAGGTGGTTTAACGAATTTTGTCTTCTCTCTGCCCAGCCCCCTCCTCCCCGTGCTCGGGGGAGGAGTTTATCACTGTCCCTGTTAATATACACCCCCTCGCCCAGGCGACCGACAGCCAAACATAAACAATGAGGACCCCATGAGGGCTCCCCCCACCATCCCTGTCAACAACAAAACAAAGTACACTTTGGGGCAGAGTCTGGAGTCATGTTCGTGGGGCCCGCGAACACTTTTTTTTTGTTGGAAGGGACGGCGGGGGTGTCCGCGTATTGCCTGCTGCGCGCAGGGCGATCATCCCTGGCACATAAACAACAAAATGCACCTCGCGGCTAAATCTGGATCATGCGCGGCCACCCCGCGATCACTGTCAAGCGGTGGCGTATGGCCTGCTGTGCGCAGGCCCACCAGACACAAGGATGGGCATTGGTTTTCGACATGGACGGTGGTGTTTCCCGATGCGTGCTGTCACGTGCGCAGGCGCACCTGACACACTCTGCACGTGCCCCGAACGTGGCGCACCTGGCGCGGCTGGAGTAGGCGGCACACCCGGAGCACGCGGAGGCACGCGGCGCATCTGGCACACCAGGCGTGCCTGGCACGCTCGGGCCCCAGGGGTGCCTGGCGCGCGTGGCGCGCCTGGCACGCGACGCGCACCTCGCCCCAGCGTCGAGCACACGGGCTCGATTTTGGTTCCCAGTAGCTGTCCATCCAAAGACGACCGCTGAACATGCCGAGGCTCGGGTGTTACTTATTTGTTGGGAGGGCGGGCGGGAGTGAGCTAGACGGCTTGCCTCTTGGATGGTGTCTTGACCCCTTCCCCTCCCCCCTCCCCTGGGCCTAGGAGGGGAAGCGCGAGGCGTTCGAGCCCGCAAGATCGCCCAACATGGTTCCAAGAGGGCCTCAGCAAGCCCAAAATGACTTCAAGATGCCTCAAGATACCTCAAGATGGCTCAAGATAGCCTCCGACAAACATCCAACAGGCCTCAGGACGGCCCCAAGACGCTTTCAAGTGCCCTTCGAGCCCTCCAATGACCCCCCCAATATACCCAAATGGCTCCACAACCAATGAAAGAATCAATGTTTTTTTGCCTTCTCGCCTTTTTGCTTCGGATGGGCTCCTGAGGCTTTACGATGACCCCAAGCTGGCCCAAGAGAACCCCAAGAGAACCCTAAGAGGAGCTCAAGAGGGCCCCAAGAGGGACCTAAGATCGCCCAGGGCGCCCCACAAGCGCCCCAAGACGGCTCACGGCCCCAAGATATTTTTTTTTTGAGCATCCGACGGGGACCTGCTGTTACGCGCCCTCCCCTCTCCTTTTCGTTGTGAGTCATGGAGGCCAGAATGGCCCCAAGAGGCCTCCCAGACCGCCGCAACGAGCTCCAAGAGGGCTCCAAGAAGGCCCCAAGAGAGCACCAAGAGGCCTTGTAGAGTGCCCCAAGAGGCTCCGCGAGGACCCCGAAGGGGCCCTAAGATGGCTCGAAGAAACGTCAGAGCAAATGGTTCCACGGCGGTTGTTGCACTGCACGCTTCTGCACTTCCCTCATCAAGACAATTTGCCTGGCGATCTTCTTCTGGATGGGATACGCGAAGCGTAAAAAACTCACCCGTACATTTTTGTTTACCAAGTATGTCATACGTCTTTTCGACCAGGGAACACAGTCAAGTTACTAAGCGTTGCGTTTTACGGCGATGTTACAGGTACCTTGGGCAGTCATTGGTTGGGTCTTTCTGGAGGCCTGTTGGCCCGTCTTGGGGTGATGTCGGCGGCCTTTCGATGAACTTGTCAGCCCATGATGTTGGCAAAAACGAGTAGCATCGGTTTCTTCGACCTCTCCTGTACGCCCTCGGAGAGCTTTCTTGGGCCATATAGGAACGAACCTTTTTGGGCTATCGTCAGGCCATGAGAGCCTTGTGGGAGCCGTGTATGGCCTCAGGTTCCTCGATCTTGATCGTGGGTCTTTGCTAATCCCAAATCGTTGAAAGATTTGGCGAAAGTTCGGTGCCGATTTCGGTAGATGGCCGGGTTCCCAGGTTCCCGGTTTTGGGTTCCGGGTTCCCGTTTCCAGGTTCAGGATTGGTTTCGGGTTCCCAGTTCTGGGTTTTGCGTTCTTTTTTCCGGGTGCCGAATGGGTTTCGGTGGGCGGCTGGGTTCCCAGGTGTTCGTTTTTTGGTGCCAGGGTTCGCCATACATGTTGTTTATATGTTTGAATATGTTGTACATACACCTACATACATACCATAGAGAGGGAGAGGGATGGATACGGAGTGTGCATGTGTAGGTATACAAGTGTGCTTGCTGCATTTACACACGTACGCACGTTTGGGTACGCATGTATGTGTGTACGTATGTACGTATGTATGTATGTATGTCTGTATGTAATATACCATATTGTCTCACATCACAGTATAACATGCTATATGGTGTTCTAGTATATTACACTATGTGGCCTTGTATCATGGTATATTATAACTGTTATATTGTGTTCTTACATAATCTTTCATATCATATTACATCGTAACATGTTAAATTATTCGATCTTGCATTATCTTATGCTATGTTGTATTATATGTTATTCGCATTTTTTTGATAAGCTGATACATCTGGGCGCCCCCCAATAGAATCTGGCCGGCCCCAGAGGCCCCAGGGGTGCCTGAGGCTCTCTCTGGTCGCCCACTCGGGCCGCCACCTGGGCCTCCCAGATTTCGCAGAGCCCCCACTTGGGCCTCCTGGACCTCGCGGAGCGGCCAAAGATCGCTCACGCTGACCTCGACATAGCCCCAAGTGCCACCAAGAGAGCCCCCAGAAGGCTTCAGAGGCCCTCGAGCACGCCGCCCCCGAGAGACCGAAATGTTTCAAAAACGTGTGGGACATAATTTTCGCCCTCTCGCGTTCCCGCCTCCGATGAACCTCCAAGGCTTCACAGTGGCCCCCAATAGGCCCTCCGACACGGTCCCGAAGGGCCCCCCAAAATTCCCCAAGAGGCCCCAAGTTGTCTTCACAAGCCACCAGAAACCGCCAACAAAACCCCACGACACTCCCAAGAACCCAGAGGTCCCCATACGGCCCCCCGAAAGGGCGGCCAGAGGCTCCCCAGAGGGCCCCAAAAAGCCCGCAAGAGGCCCCAAGGCCTGGAACACTCCTCCCCGCAGCCCCCCGTCACAGTCAAAACTCGCAGCGGCTTCTCGGAGTCGCTGGGGGCGAGTTTCAGCACAGCGAGTCCGTCGCGCACTTCGTGAACGTGGGCCTCCTCAAAGGGCCTTCGGCTGCCCCTCAACACGACGGCGGGGAACTTCCATTCGGCAGACCTTCTCACGCACGTCGTGCCCCACGCGTGCTGACCCGCGCGCCGACCCCGCGCGCCTGCGCGCGGAGACCTGCGCTGGCCCGCGCTGACCTGGTGAGCTGCGCTGACCTGCGCTGGCGTGCGCCTCCGAGGGAGCGCGTGTCCTGCGCTGACCTGGGCCGACCTGCGCTGACGTGGGTGACCTGCGCTGACCTGTGCTGCCTTGCGCAGGGGACATCCCTGGGTTGACTGCGGATGCCTTGCCCACGGATGCCCAGTTGGCCTTCCCCTGGCCACCAAGAGGCTCCTGGAGGAGCCCAGGCGCGCACGACGAGACCACGGGAGGCGCCGGGCTGCCCCAGGGGAAGCCAAGGCAACCGCAGCAGTAAGCACGTGAGATACCCCAAGAATAGTCAAAAAATAATCCAAAAATGGTCTGGGGACTATTTTTGGAGTATTTTTTGACCTTTTGGGGGTATTTTTGGGATATTTTTTATTTTTCGTCGAAGCGTCCCCTGTAGGGGGACACGCCCGACATAATAGTAGGTCGACCCTGCCAGATCAAGGGTCCTGTGTCTCACGATCCATGCCTCCTGCATTCCTGTGGCAACGTGGCCCTCGGAAGGGTCCTGTGTCCTCCCTCGTGTCCGGTCGAATCGAGTCTGACTGTATCCCCGACCGCGATGTGAGCGACGTGGAAAAACGGGGTCGTGCGCGCCGGCGTTGTCGCGCAAGGTGCCCGCACAAGGTCGGGCGAAAGCACCCTCGGTTCGGTTAGGCGTTCCGCGCGGGCTGCCCGCGTGATCCGCCGCGTAGGGTCGTGGTGCCATCTCGCGTACAGTCGGTCTCGATTGGAGAGGACACGCGAGAGGACACAAGACCCTTCCGAGGGCCACATCGCCGTAGGAATGTAGACAGCGTGGGTCGCGAACCACATGACACAAGGGTGCCCTTGATCTGGCAGGATCGACCTACTAATCCGGGCCGACTGTAATACCCCTTTGATCGTCGCTCATGTGATTGCGAGATTTGCCTGTTTGTTTCCTGTTGCTGGCTCTCCGTGGCTCGTTCCGCGGGCTCAACTCGGCGGGCCCCGCAAGAGAGCGCAGCGGGAGCGGGTCAGACAGAGTCCAGTCAGACATCGCAGGCTTGCAGAGTTCGGAAAGATGGATGGAACCTTGAATGCAGAATGCATGCCTGGAACGGCTGCGCGCACTCCGCCATACGGTTCGCTTGGTACACGTGTGAGAACAAGAGTGGCCTGCGCTGTCAGGCTCCTGTCGGTCGGGGGGCCTCACTTTGGCACACCCTTCACACTTTTCGTGTCTGGTGAATGTTTAAACGCATTCGGTTGGCCTCTCGATACTGTTAAGCGGACTTTTATTTTGGCGCACTCCTTCGCGCATTTCGTGCCCAGCTGGCCCAGTTGGCCCCCCAAGGTGGCTCTTGGCGGCTTCAATTCGGCACACCCGCACACATTTCGTGGCCCATGAACATCCAGAGGCGCTCAGCTGATTCTCAACATGGCAGCCCCAATTTGGCACACCACTCATGCACTTCGAGCCTCATGAACCCCCACAAGGCTCAGGGGGCTTCGAGACTGCCCACAGAGGAGGCCAAGACGCCCTCCCCAAAAGTTGCAAGGACTGGTACCGACTCTTGTCGAAGCCGTGCATCAGAATTGTTACCGATCGCGAGATTTGCGTGCTCGTTTCCGCGTGCTCGTTTCCCCTTGCCCGCCGCGAGGCCTGCTCTGCGGGCTCAGTAAACTAGATCTTTTTCAGGGGCCGTTTTGGGGGTCCACTATGGGGCTCAGAAGCCCGCTTCGAGCATTTACTTCATCGTTCTCTCAGTTGCCCTGTTCCACGCCAGGGGGAGCCTTTGCCGAGGAGGATGCCTGGCATACAGCCGCGGAGCTGTCGAGCTGGCGCGCCATGTATTTTTACCGTACGTGGTTTAGCGCCTAGAGGTGTCAGTTTTGCTCAGGCATTGTGCCCCTGGTGGTGTTCGCGACTCTTTCGCAAGAGTGCAGTAGTTTTCGGGCGCGCACTTTGTACGCCTCATTCCGCACAAGTGCGAGAAGATATTGCGTTTACAGCCTGCCTGAGAGCCGTTTCTCCTTGTATACGTGGCCTGCCTTTCTGGGCAATCGGTGATTCTCATCCTCGGCCACATTCTCAGTCATGCCTCGCCACGGGCGCCCGCGTCCGCGTGCGCCGATGTCCGGAGCGAGGCCAGACGCTTCTCCTCCGAGCTGATGACGATGGTCTGTGGCGGGTCTACTCATACCTTTCTCCTCCCCACCTTCCATGCATTCCCTTTCTGGGTGGGGCCGAGAAGGATGCGGACGCGCACTTCTGCACACACTAGGGCACAGGGAGCGCTCATAACAATGGTGAGCTCGACCGCAGGCTGTGATAGCAGATCCGATACGTGTGCTGTCATCCTGTGTCGAGGAACTGTGTGGAGTCTTCGCGAGAGGGCGGAGAGGAAAAGGAGGAGGAGGAGGAAGAGGAGGAGGAGGAGGAGGAGGAGGAGGAGGAGGAGGAGGAGGAGGAGGATGAGGGGCAGCAGGAGGAGGAGGAGGAGGAGGAGGTGGAGGAGGAGGTCGACGACGAGACTATCCGACGAGGATCCTGCGTGCGTTGGGCAAACCTCTGGCCCCGACCCCTCGCGCTGGGTTGAACAAGAGAATCTGAGGGGTTTACGTGGATAGCCAGCTCAAGGGCCCAACACATTCTGGCGGAGGTTTCGGCCGTTACGTTTTGCCCCACGCCTGCCTCAAGGATTCTTGCGGACGGGCCTCTCGTGTCGCTGGGCGTGGAGGATGCAGCTGCCGCTCGGGCCGCGAGCACGGGAGAGACATTGACACCTCGTGCACCGTGCGCTGTCGTTCTCGTGTCCTGGAGGTCTCAAGAGGCCCTCAACAAGACATCGGCTGCCTGAGATGTTCCTCATGACCTGGTGCTCTTCGAGCTGACAGTTCACTGAATGGCGCCCGCTGCGACGCGAAATTTGCCACGCATGCATAAAACCTGGCTGCCTCTGGCACAAGCGTACGCAAGCTGGGCCGACGTGCCAGGACACGTTCCAGCGAGGAGGGGGAGGAAGGGCGGCGGGCGAGGGGTCTCCACAGGCTCGCAAAAGTTTCAGAAGGCTTCCAGAGGCTCCGAGGGGCTCAAAAAAGGGCCGCCCAGGGGGCCAAAAGCACGTGGATGCCCGATCCCTTGTCCTCGATCCCCGATTCCTGAAGATCTTCATCCCCGATCCTCGATCGTCACCCCCCGCCGCCGCCCCAGGCGCCACCAGCTCCTCGTCGTCGCGGTCGCCGTCGCCGTCGCCGTCGTCGTCGTCGTCGTCGGCGTCCTCGATCCTCGAACGACCCTCGGCCGCCAGGGGGCGCCCGCGCCGGGCAATGCCCGCGGCCCGGCGCGCGGCGGCGTTCCCGGCCCTGCGAGCGGGGCTCCTGACCCTGATCCTTCTCTTCCGCGCGGGCCGAAAGCTGGGTCGCCGACGGCGGCGACGAGGACGGCGAGGGCGCAGACGATTCGGACAACGACGACAAGGAGGACGACGACGGCGAGGGCGAGAGCGAGAAATAGCAGGACGGCGAGGGCGACGACGATGACGACGACGACGACGGCGACGACGACGACGATGGGGACGAGGAGGAGGAGGAGGTGGATTCGATCCACAACGCTACAGAGCACAATCGCGGCATGGCACATCGCAGTTCAGCACGGCACAGCACAGCACAGCCCTTGGCACGGTACATTTAGATCGATACATTCAGCATTGCAAGTGCTCGTTGCCCAATCAGGTTTCTTGAGAGCGTTGCCATGCCTCACTTTTCTATATTCTTTTCCGGGTTTGTGGGCCGATCACGTTCCACATCTTTTTTCTCGTCCTTCCTTAGCCTGGGACGACGTCGAGGTCACAGGCGTCGGCAGGTTTTCGGCCCGTTCCCCCTCGCAGCGGTCCCTGTGTACGAGGTCTTCGTGCGCCCTTATCCTGCTGGCTTTGCCGTCCCGCAGTCGGTGCCAGCGAACTTTTTCTGTACGGGCGTGGGGAGGAAGACGAGGAGGAGGAGGAGGACAAGGATGATGGTGATGATAATGGTGATGGTGATGGTGATGATGATGATCATCATGTTGATGATGATGTTGATAATGATGATCATGATGATGCTGATGATGCTGATGATGGTGATGATGCTGATGCTGTTGATGATGCTGATGATGGTGATGATGATGATGATGCTGCTGCTGCTGATAACGATGGTGATGACGATGCTGCTTCTGATAATGATGATGATGATGATGATGATGATGATTGATGATGATGCTGATTCTGACCATGCTGATGATGATGCTGATGATGCTGATGATGATTTTGATGATGATTTTAATGATGGTGCTGATGATGCTGATGATGATGATGCTGATGATGCTGCTGATGATGATTAGGAACATGATGGTGATGATGATGATAATGATGATGATGATGATGATGATGTTGATGATGATGCTGATGATGATGACGATGATGCAGCTGCTGATGATGATGATGATGGTGATGCTGCTGCTGATGATGGTGATGATGATGATGATGCTGAGGATGATGATGATGATGATGATTCTGGCGATGATGATGACGATGATGCTGATGATGATGCTGAGATGGCGATGATGATGCTGATTATGAGGATGAGGATGATGATGCTGATTTTGATGATGGGTGTGCTGGCGATGATGATGATGATGGTGATGATGCTGATGCTGTTGATGATGCTGATGAGGATGATGATCAAGATGCTGATGATGATTCTGCTGCTGAGAACGATGGTGATGACGATGCTGCCTCTGATAATGATGATGATTATGATGATCCTGATTCTGATGATGATGCTGATGGAGATGCTGATGATGATGATGCTGATGATAATGATGCTGATGATGATGCTGCTGATGATGATGATTCTGATGATAATGATGGTGATGATGGTGATGATGATGATGATGATGATGATGCAGCTGCTGATGATGATGATGATGCTGAGGATGATGATGATAATGTTGATGCTGCTGCTGCTGATGATTCTGCTGATGGTGATGATCATGCTGATGATGATGATTGATGATGACGATGATGATTACGATGATGCTGATGATGACGATGATGATGTTTAGGTGATGGTGATGATGATGATGATGATGCTGATTATGAGAATGAGGATGCTGATGCTGATTTTGATGTTGGTGGTGCTGGTGATGATGATGATTGGTGATGATGATGAGGATGATGGTGATGCTGATGATGATGCTGATGATGCTGATGA